CATAGGAGACAGAAAGAGGTTGACTAATCTGCTGAACAGATTCAGAACGGGAAACAACAGCATTTGAAGTGATAGTACCTATACCAGAAAGCTGCTTCCTCAAGGTAAAATATTCCTGCTCGCCCGCAGTGAACGGAACCAAAACTTGAGAGAAAATGGACCCGCGTAAACACAAAAACCAACGACTAAATTGTAAGGGGACAATGAACTCGAAAAGACGTCCGAAATCCTTACATTCAGAAGAGTGAACTGCTACCAGTACTCGAGACGTGAAGGGTAGTGTTTCGCTTCGGTAATCGGTTTGAAAAGCTCTTCTCGAAAGCCTCAATCCTGCAATGAGAGAGGGGGTGTCGATCTGCTCTTTCGTCGATGTGAACTTCATCACAGGTAGGCATAGTTAACAAATATAACATGAGACGAAAATAAGGTACCGCTCACGGTAACCTGCATGATCCGTCTACCAGGTTGGGGAGACGGGCAGTAGGAACTGTTCTGTGTAATCGATTCGCCGCACGCGGCTGTCGCGAACTTCGCTTCGCCGTTATTACGGCTCTAGCGTTCTTCATACAAAATCAAAAATCAAAACGTGCAAAAAGTCCGAATTTTATAGACAGCTCATAGGCCGGGCCATATTTTTTAGTAATGTTTACATTTACGTCCCAATGATACAGAAATGCAGCATACCTGCCTTTCTACAATGTAGATGCACGATGCATCCCAACAAGTATCCTGAAAAGGGCAAAGTCAAGGAAACTGGAGGGAGGTCTTCCACATGTTTTGGTTCAAAACGGTCAGGAGCAAGTATTGTTCTGTTCTTTACCTTCGAAATTGCATATCGAACCATGAAAGGGAGAATACAATGTGACCCACATAAAGTATTAGGGTGTGCGGTAGTTTTGAGAAAATTCAGTCGGCTTTCTCTACACAAAATCTCTACAGCAATAAGCTTAGATCAGTGATCAAGTTAGTGGCCCTTCTTAGCCACCATGTGTCTTCATTAACCGGATAGGACATTGATGCCATTCCTTCGATACGAAGAAATGTGTGACGCAATTCACTCATGTACCACCTACTCACTTCTCGAGCATAAAGTGGTAAAGCATTATCCATCATGATCGAAAATCTCCTTAAAATCGTTGTTAAATGGGAGCTCAAAACACCATCTCTTTCATTCGGTAACAGAATGCTCTTGCGCTTACCGCAGAACACTAGCAGGATCTCATAGTAAAGCATCCAGTTGAGCAAAGGAAGAGTAAGCTCATGACCTTGTACGCAAGAGCGCCTCGCTTCGTAGCGAGCTGTGGTCTTACGTCCAAGGTCAGATATTGCGATATTCCGTGTGAATTTTCATAAGACTTCTACTTTTCATCCTGAGCAACAATGAAGTTTACTGAAGTCGACGTTCGCTTACAGGAGCTTTTGGTACGCACTGACTCGCACTCGACATTCTGCTCAGTCAAGGAGTGTGCGATATTTGCAAACAGACTGCTTTGACGCAACTTCAGTGTAGAACGTCGTGGATAAATTGGGGAGTAGAGATTATCTTTTCCATTTCCTGTGATTTTGAGGGTGATTGCACTGACGGGGGCCAGAACAGTGTCAGTATTTCGGGACATCGGACGTTCGCTCCAACAGACTCCGTCGAATACGTGTTAACTGATTGGCTGCAATGACCCTCTCTTGTCACCTACCATGAATGGCGCGATCGCCTCCTTACTAGACGCGATCGTGCCATTTATGATAGGTGACAAGGGAGGGTCAGCGCTGCCAATGAGCCCATATCTCATTCCGTGCCTGAGTGTCGAAGGGATCAGTTCCCTTCGGCACTCAGGCTGTGTAATGAGGAAGCAGAAGGCACGAGTAGTCTTATCGATGGCACATCGTTCGGTTGACAATTACTTACTTAGAACTACCAAGTCAATTACCAATCAGCCATAGTATAGAACTATCAGCAATGCCCTCTATCTGCTATCGAATCAACAGTCCTTTTTAGTCGTTCAAGAGCAACATGCAATCAATAGTCCTTCTTTAGTCGTTCAAGAGCAATATGCTTTCCTTGTTGGGAGGCACAATTTCCTAAAAACTTTTCGGACACCCTATTACAACAGAAAAAATAACAACAACAAAAGTATAGAAATCAAACCAAATGAGAAACATTTGCTTCTACATTCAAACATCGCAAAAAANAAAAAATGTAAGTAACATATCACATTCAAGCTGACCTCTGTCGCTTGAACGCAAGCATCCACCTCTTACGGAAGTTTTTGAGAATGCGCACACTCACTCCCTGTGAGATATAGTCTCACGCTTTCACAAGAGCTTTTTCCAGTGTCTAAAAACCTGTGGTCGGAAGTGCAGGCTTTTTACTCCGGAATGGCCACAAAATTTAAAGGATTGAGATCGGGTAATTTGGAAATCAAACCTCCTTCTACAAACACCCGGAAGCTTGGCCTCACACCACTCCAGTGGCTTCTTCGCCCTAAGGCTGGTGTCCAACCTTGCTGCAAGGTCCAGTAAGGTTATTCGCGTTTTCTTGGCATTTCGCTGGATTACCGCATCCTCCGGAATCCGAGGGCACCAACTCTCACTCCTTTTCCTCAAAAAGCGAACAAGGTATATTCCGGCCGGCACATCACTGTTTAGGATAATTGAATTTTGACCTCGACGCTCGAGGAGATCCTTTTGGCAGAAGCATCCGTTGATTCCGTGCGTTTTGAAACCGTTCAGTAGTAAGTATTCCCTCGTCTGTGAAGAGAATCCGTCCGAGCTTGTAACCGCGCGAAAGGGAATTCATCTTTCTTTTTTCAGTCTTGAGGCCTTCATCCCGTCGAAAATACGTTGCCTTTCGCGAATCTGTAATAATACAACTTGATGTCCTCTTCGACCAGCCGTTCCATAATTGAATTGTTCACACTGTGTTCCTTAGACAATTTTCTCATGCTTCTTTCAGGATCTCCACGCAGCTTATCTTTGACTGCTTTCTGGAATGCGGAGGTCCTGGCAATTCTTTCTGGTCATCCTCTTGGACTGTCCTCAATCTTTCCAAATTCTTCGAGTCGCTTGGTGGCGCAATATACTTGCTCTCGATGAAGTGTAAGCTTAGAAATTTCGAAAACCGACAAGCTACGTTTGTACATCGCGACTACTGCTGAGCTTTCTTCAAGCGGAGCCATTTCATCAGGGAATAGCAAATAAAACTGCCCACAGCAGGTTCGAAAAATGGGGCAGAATCGAATATTCTCATAATATGACGAAAGAAAAAACCAAGACTTACAGGAACTGATTTTTTATAGCCCTGTACACTCACTCTTCACGTGGGTCACCCTGTATAGGGAACGATACTTACTTTCTACATCAGATAGATAATATGCAGAGAGACAGATGTCGTTGATGGAAATATTAGGACAGAAACCATGAATGACATTCTTCACTCCATCTTCGGCATGCAGCGAACCATTCCGTCAGGACTATAAAGACGATTCATCTTGGTCTTGAAGAACACTGAAGGAGTAATGGTGAACACCGCCAAGCATTCTCATGCTCTTCCCAATTTCGACGACTTCAGCCAGGGTTGGTGTTCTTCCTATACCGCTTCCCAGCTTACACAGTTTCGCAGGCATATACATACACTGGGCATGGAATTTTACGATTACGTGTAATCCCAAATACCTTCGAAGTGGGACCTTTCTCATTGACCTATGAATACCCTGCTTCCCGTGCACCGTCGAACGACCAGATGTGTTCCTCGTGAATGCTTCCAAACTAAGTTTGAAGGCATACTGCGTCTTAAAGTGGTGAGGTGAGCGCTTTTTTTTTGCCCCACAGCCTTCGTAATGGACCGAAAGACAGTTGGACAGAGCACTAAATGAGCTCTGGATGGGAACTAGGATTACGAGCTCTTTGAACTGCACCAGTAGCTGAAATGCTCACATGACCTTGCCCGCTCATGCCGTCAGTGCTATAGAAAGAGTGCAGTTGCGGATAGGGCATCTTTATGGGTTACAGGACCGTTGTCAACCGCGTGTGTAGTGACTCAGCGTTTTTGTCGTTTTCTCTGCGTCTCCCCAAATAGGCATCTCACTGCGAAGAGGATAGAGGGCAGACGAAAGAGCTCGCCATACCTCAATGCCTCCGATTACCAGTGATACAATAGGATACCTAGCGAAAAGATTGAATCAATGGTGTTGCAGACCTACAAACGATGTTGGTGATCTCTGCGCTGATTCCCATAAAAACGAAGTAGGAAATAGGTTGCAAACTTGGGTTTTCTACAAGCCACATGGATTTTTCGCGGTGTAGATGTTCTATGCAGATGTTTCATTAATATTTGGACAAGGATCAAGTTTTTGCTTCTCTCAGACTTCCTGAACTTCGAAATAAGAAGTTTCTTTAGTTGGAAGAAGTCTGTCTTTCTGAAGATTCTTCGACTCTTGGACCCATTCGAATGTCTACTCTTGACGAGAGAGCACTCTGAAGGAGAGTACGGACAACGAGCGGACACGCTCTCCTCTCGCTGGTGAACACGAGACGCAGAGATTGCTTCGCCGTCTGATTCTCTCAGCGAGAGAAATTCTGGTTGACAACAGCCCTGTAACCNCCCATTCGAATGTCTACTCTTGACGAGAGAGCACTCTGAAGGAGAGTACGGACAACGAGCGGACACGCTCTCCTCTCGCTGGTGAACACGAGACGCAGAGATTGCTTCGCCGTCTGATTCTCTCAGCGAGAGAAATTCTGGTTGACAACAGCCCTGTAACCCGCTGGTGAACACGACACGCAGAACTGCTTCGCCGTCTGATTCTCTCAGCGAGAGAAATTCTGGTTGACAACAGCCGTGTAACCATCTTTATGGCGGGGCTGTCCATTATCTTGACATTTCTTATACACTAATCGCTTACAATCGCGGAAGTATTGCATTCTTTACGTTTAGGTATCATGTATTCAGATCATATGTGACCCTACCTATTAATATCCACCAACTTGTGCAACTCTGAGCTTTAATGACACAACGAAATAGAAACGGTCGGCGAAAAAGCGATCCTGCGCTTCCATTTCGCCCTACTCAAGAAAAATTGTAGGTTCATCTGACTTGATATATTTTATCCTTCACATCAAGCTTTTTGCTTTTCAGAACAGTAGCTGCGGATCTTCCATGGGGTCTTCCAAAAGTAGTCCCGGTTGTGGCATTGGACTACAACCTTCCTACTGGCTCATTCGCAGGACAATCGGTTCTTTTGGATTTATTCAGTCTCTTCGAGAGGAAGTTACAATCTGTGATTGAGGAGGAGCCAATTGTAAGTCTGTCGTGTTGTTTGTTGTATTCACGAGCACTCTGAACAACAGCAGGTAAAAGGATGAGGGATTAGATCTTTGAATACTCTCTGTCCAACTTGAGATAAATCCTGGAGTCAGCTTCCATTCAAAATCGTAGTTGTGCCCAAATTTGTGAGTTTCAGCCGGTGTGGTACCAACCAACCCATTCGGGAAAGTGAAAATGCTTCACTGGTGTGGGCTATTATCGACTCGTTATTTTTCCAGGGTAGCACAAGGGGGTGGCGGTTCACCTCGCACTACCCCAACTCCTTCTCAGGGATGAGTAAGGGGAACGAGGAAAAGTGCATCTCGTTACCAGGTAGATTTTACAGGAGAAGTTGCTGAATAAGTCTCTCCAACGTGGTGGCGATCCGTACTTCGATAATTTGTGCCATACTTTACACGGAATAAGTGAGCTATGTCTTCCATCAGTTGTGAGCGCTTTGATAGGCTGGCATCAGCGAATGGAGCTCAAAATAAACGAATGCATGAGTCCACTGTGAGTGCACTCGGTTTAGCTTTGATTCTACATTATCTTATAGCCTATCTCATTATCATTTCAGAAACGATAACCGTGTGAAACTAGTGAAAAAGCTGCTAGCAGTCAATTACTTGTTTTGCATAGTGCTCATAGAGATCCTTCCTCAGGTTACGTATTCAACGAAGTTGTAAGTATTGAGAGTTCAGGCCTAAATTTAGATTGGTTTGCAGGTGGAGTTTCATCTAACAGCATGTGAACAGCAAGTTAAATACCTTCTCGACAGCTCTTTTCAACAAGTACAGTATAAAGATCCGTGAGTTCATGCTGCGTCGATGATGGCAACCTTGAATGAAAGAACGACTGAAACAATATCATTTCCTCGTCTATGCTTCAGCATTTTTCTTTCAGTGCTCTGTTGGGAGTCAATAATACGAACAGTCTTGTTGTTGCTGAGACCTATGCAGAAGTGATCGGAGTTTTATCAGAAACTCATTTTACTCAGATACATAGGTAATTATAGTCAATAGAGAAGCTAGTTGATTCCCAATGTCGTAGACCTCAGTTAATGACATTGAGTGATTTAGACAATTCATGAGTGTACTATCTGAATTGAGAAAAGACACTTCAACAGCTGTTACACACAATTTGATCTCTCTTCTTATGGCAATGAAATTCGTCAAAATTAAGGTGAGCTCTGTTAGGGACGGATACTTCCTCTCTTGCAAATTTTGCATCTTTTATAGACGAACCAAGTGGATGATTTTGAAATGGGAATTAAGTTTCTGGATGATCTCGGATCATTTCTTCTAGAGGTCAAAGATAAGGTTGGTTCCAAAAGCTGGCTTCTTTCACTCTATTTAGTATTTTCTTCCTTTCGTTTTAGGATGTGAAGCACGCCGTCGCTGGGCTTCTCGTTGAAATCCTGCTACCTATTGCTGCGGTAAACCTTCGTTTACAATAGCCTTTCTCTGAGTGAGGTTCTGTTGGGATTTACTAATTTTCTTCGACTGTTTCAGCAAATCAAACGTGAAACAAATATACCTGCTCTAATCGCTTTTGTCGGTAAATTATATGGACCAACAAGTGAATTGGCCTCGAAGAAGCAACACAAATTGGTTTGATTCTTCCTGTTTTCTTGTTTCTTTAGAAATGTATTCAATCGTACTGGCTTCAGGCAGCATACCCGTTGTTGACATGCTTGCTCTGCGTAAGTCAGCGCCAATTCTTTTTGACGAACTGGGTTCCTTTTCTGAACAATACGCTTGCAAATTTGAAAAATAGGGATTCTCGTATATCGCGAGTGGCCCTGGAATCACTATACAGATTATTATGGTGAGAATTCTGGAGCATTGTTGCTGTTCGTCTACATTTCTTCAAAAAAAGTTGGTCGTGTTCATTCATTACATTCAAGGGTTTACATGATTCGCAACAACTGTGATGGTAATTCGGCGACTCGATCGAGGTTAGAATCGATATGTGGGAGCCTGTTCCCGAAAGGCAATCGCGGAATTGTTCCAAGAGATGCACCCTTAAATATCTTTGTCAAAATTATACATTTCATAGCCCAACAGAAGTTGGACTTTGCTTTTAAAGTAAGTTCTTGAAATAAGTGCGTATTGGTCTTTATATAACAGTGTTTCAATGAGTTGGTTTTTTTTCAGGACGTGATATTCGACCTACTGGGATGTAATCGTTCGCAGAGATCTCTCTACCCTGAAAGGATGAATATAGGAATTCGTGCTTTAATGGTTATTGCAGATGGTCTCCAGCAAAAAGACGAGCCTCCTGCAATGCCCAAATCAATGGGTTAGCTTGTTTTGCTAAGTTTACCGCTTCGAAAAGTTTATCTCTATTTCATAGAAAACATTATTTCCATTCTATTTGATCGTTTTTCGTTGTTTTTTTTGTGTGTTTACGTTTTCATGTGACAGGCCTCATAGTTTACGATTCTATATTTGTAAATGACAGAAAGCACTTTGTTGTTTAGGTCCATCAGCAAGTGGCACAATGCAGCGGTTGAAAAAGAAAACCTATATCACTCGCCCTTTGACAGTTGACATTGCTAAGTCAATTGGTCTTGATCAGTACTACACCCCTTGCCGCAAAGCTTTCGATTCGATTCTTCGCGTTTTGGATACGCAGGTAAAGAGCTACTGGTTGTTCCGTTGTTCGGACTCTGTCAATCATTTTCAGGTTGGTCGCCCATTGATGATGACTGCTATACAGAGAGGCAAAGAACCGGAAGAGTTGCTAGGGTAAGTTTCCCACGCTCACGCAATCCTTGTTTGAGAGAGAGGCTGATATACATGAATTCTATTATGGTACCTTCAGAGGAGATGTTAAGCCAAAGTTGGACTTGTTCCGCACTTGCGTTGCTGCCATTCCCCGATTGCTACCCGAACCAATGACCTATACTGTATGTCGAATTCATGAAAGACGATTTAAGACATCCATAACTGTTTCTTCTTAGACACATTATCTTTTGACTTTAGGAGCTCATAGATATTTTGACAAGAACAACAGTTCACGTTGATGAGGAACTCAGAACGATGGCTGGAAACACTCTTCAGAATATGCTTGGAGAATTTCCAGAGTGGAGAGAGCAAATAATAATTTCTGAAATAACTTTGTTGCATAATCAATTAACGGTGATTTTTTGCATCAAAATCCTTTTCAATCATTGCCTTGAACATGGTCATTCACTTGTGGTAAATTACAGGACTTCTATCCCGCTGTTCTTGACGATGCGCTTCGCCTCCTACATCAAATGGTTGTCACTTGGAAGTCTGCAGCTCTACAGGAAAAGAAGAAAGAGCAAGAAAAGGTAACTCCCATCCATATAGCTCGACATCAACACGTATACGGTGTTGTTTCGGAGGAATCTGCCATTTCCTAGAGTAGATCAAAATAAAATTTTAAAGCCTTCCTCCATCATACGGGAAAGAGGAAACCTTTTTGTGTGTAGTAATTTTTTTCATTTAATCTCTATGTGTCGAAGAGAATTAGCGTTCTTGAAGGACCCGAGTATGTTTGACAATGCTCATGCGGTACCTCCTCTGTACTTTCTCAACTATGCGTCAGTTCTGCATGCTGTGGAGGGAATGGCGTTGGTGATGCTATGTCAGATCAGGTGAGAGGTTTTCATCATTTTCCAATGTATTAACTATGTGTGCTGTTTTATGAAGAGTCTTGTTAACAGACCTCAACCGAAGAAAATTGCTATCTCGATTCTGAAAGAAGTGAAACAGATAATAACTATCTTGGCTCTTGATGTGAGTTTTTTTGCAATTTATTCCTTCTTTACGCACATCAGAGGCTCCCACATTTTAGAATGCTGACACACCTGTTATAACGATTCTTGATGAAGCTACGCCATATGTTGTTCGTAAATATATCGAGCACATTCCTTTATATGAAAGGGTCAGTCATTTCTGTCTTTTCTTTTTCCCGGTGTATATTCTAAGCCATGCCATGCATTTTTCTTTCATATTTCGTACTGCTGCTATTTCATTTTTATTGTTCACTTTGCTTTCATGGTGTTGGTCAGCTATGCTGGAGGGTGCATGACTATGCGATACCGTAAATGACATCATAGGGTCTGACCTAAACCTTTTGTGTACGAATGTAACCGCCTAAGTTCAAATCAATGTGCAAAAGCGACACCTGGGATCCCGGCAATTATAAAACGAAGCCAATCACTCCAAACAAATTTGAAGACCAATCACTGATTAAGTTTGTCCAGAAAAACAAAACGACTTAGTTTTTAGTCGCTATCCTCTCATAGCTTGCGCGATTCGTGGGAACACGTCGGTGTCTGCCCATGCTAAAGTATTCTCTTCTCGATTGTAATATCTCTACGAGCATGAATAGAGTAGAGTAGAAGAAGATGTGCTCCCTCTAGTCGAAAACAATAGACCACATCACGATGATGAGTTTTCTGTTAGCTAACCTAAAAATCTCGTTGGAGCAGTCATTAATCTCCTTAAGTGTGGCATTTCCTTCTTCCATAATAAGTTCTTCAAGCAGAACCGAGGCACCGTCATGAGTGAGCGCCGGCGAAAAGTCAGCATTTACTAGTTTGACTTTGTTCCTCAAACGTGGTAGTGATGTGTTTTTTAAAGAACAGCGGAAAAAGGCTCCAAAGCGATGGAGATTTTGTATGATGCTATGCTAACACTCTTCAGAGACACTGACAGCAGATAGCTTCTTGTCGTTCCTCAGTACAAATATTAGGTAATGTGAAGGTTACAAAGAGTATTTATCGAAAGCGGCATTCGAAGAGTCTTTTTGCCCTCTGTTGCGTTATAAGTCTCAAAGTTTAGCCGTTTCATTGATGTTAAGGCAAACGTAGTAAGACCCTCAGAGAACGAAGGAGAAGTTCGAGGGAATAGAAGCACAGCTGTGGGTGCTAAAATTGGAGTCATTCCCAAAAGTGGTTAGGGTTGTCAGACAAACTCTCGTCATTTTCTAAATCTGGTTTCTTTCTCGTCGTCTTTTTTTTGGCATGGTATACATTGTTCGGAAGGGAATTACTAACCTTGCTGCAATCTGAGCTTTTTTCCGTCCGATTTAGTTGACGTTTTGGGATTTGCGTTTTGGCCACATTGCTGCTTCCAACTAATGCGCTGCTGCGAAAAGGTTTCATAGCAGAAAAAGTCGCACTGTGCTCATTTATGTGTGATGATGTTAGTGAGGCATTTCAGACTAGTTGGAATCTCGACTTCTCTTCAGTCTGTGACAAAGTTGCCGCCATTGACTCTGATGTGTGCTTAGTAGGTTTTAAACCTCTCGTGGTTAAGTAGCTGAATGAAATATCGTTAATGAAACATATCTGCTTAGGTGAACAGCGACAAGGGTAATGAGTATCTCCAGTGGGATCCATGGGCATGTGCGTTGAGCGGATATGCCGAACGAAAACATCTGATCTCAAGGTACGCATAGTTTCCAAATTACATGTCAACGTTTCCAGACGAAGGTTACTTTAGATGCCCCACTGCCGTTGCCAGTGCTTGGCCCACGCTTTTCAGTAGATTAATGGCAGTGAATGCGTATGTGGACCCAAGGTAGGCTACTTTTCAACTTGACCTTCTTTTTGCACAATTAGTTTATGTCAAATTACTGCCTCTTTCTTGGAAAAAAAACCATCAATAACGCACTCGCGTCTGTGTGTCTGTCTGCCTGTCTGTTTACTTGTTTGTCGGTCACAAAGTTTGATATTACCCGACTAATCGCTTGGAGAGGTCGGGTAAAATTTGGAATGGGTTGGACTTAGGGACAAAAGTAACAGAGCACACGTGAGCCCAGCGCAGCTCCGCTTTCTGGAGGAGGGAGTTGGGGCGGGACATGCACAGTAGTAGGGTGTCATGAGCAAAACTTCTCAATTTGTTTCAATATACCCAAAAGAACACCCAGAAAAATGAGCCTAGGGAGGAATGGGTCAACAGATGAATGAAGTAGACTTACCATCGGTAGGCGAATTGGTCTCACAGTGGGCGGTTCTTCCTACGTAAGTTCATAACACGATTCGACAAAAGCCTGGAGGTTAGAAAAAAATAAAATGGGTAAGGTTCAATATATGCTGAGCCGTCCGAGGAGTCGGCGAAGCTCTGCCTGTGACGGGCGGAGAGTGTTCCCAAATGAAAGGCGCTTTTTGAAATAATTTGTAACTGTGCAAAAAAAAA